TTTTTGGTCTTTTTGAGACAGGGTCTCGCTATGCAGTTTAGGTTGGCCTTGAGCTCACTTTGTAACCCAGGCTGGTCTCGAACTCGCAAAGATGCTCCTGCCTCAACCTCCCGAGTGCTGGGATTACAGGCGTGTGTCACCACGCCTGGCTCCATTTAATTTTTGAGGAACGACCAGACTACTTTCCAAAGTGGCTGTGCTATTTCACATTCCTACCAGTGGTATATGAGAATCACAATTTTTCCATCCCTTTCCTTCACTTGTCTTTGTTGTCATTGTCATCGTCACCATTCTACTGCATGTAAAGCAGCATCTTGTTGTGGATTTTAATTTTCATTTTTCCAGCAGCTCTCTACCTTCATGTATCATATGTGTGTAGACTATTCCCTGCCTAGGAATTACCATAGTAGGTGACAGACTTGCCATACTGTTGGAAAACTCTCACAGTAGTGAAGGAGAGAGAGCTAGGAGAAGGAGCTAGAGAGAAGAGTAGGAAATTTTGAGGCTGTGGGTGTGGGTGTGAGGCTGCGTGGAAGTCGGGGTAACTGAGCAGGTGTGCCTGTTTGGGCCGAACAGCAGCTATGGAAGGAGGAGCAATTGCACCTTGGTTGAAGAACTTGTGCATTTGGTGGGGGTCTTGAGTTGAAATTAGTGCAGTACCCCAAGGATGGGATGTGACCTCCAGAACTCCCGGTGAGGCAGAAGTGGCTGCTATAGAGATCAGCTTCTAAAATACTGCCAGTGGGTGAATTTAGCCAAAGGGTTTCCCATCTGTTAGAATCAGTAATAATAAAGAATATAACAATGGTAATAACAAAAATAAGCTGCTGCGCTTTGTTTTCTGGGGACCAGACGTGGTGCCCTCTGCTTCATATGCACTCCCTTGTTTAATCCTTCAGCGGCCCTGCAGATGTAGTCTTCCTCCACTTCTGCGTTACAAGATGAAGAAACAGGCCAGGAGCCCAAGGAAACCTTTGTTAGGAAGCTGTGGAGGAGAAATTTGTTCAAACTGAGCCATCTGACCCCAGGCCCTGTGTTCTTGAGTGCTGTACCCTTGCTGTGAGGACAGTATAAAGCAAGGAAGGCCAGTTTTCGTGGTGGTTGGACAAGAGGGGGCTTCAGTGGTTGTGTCCCTCTGTGGTGTTGCCTATGCCTGGCCCTACCTATAATTTCACAGAGTGGGTGGCAAAACTCCAGGGCATTTTTTTATCAGTTTACCCCTGCTTGTACTTAAGAGGTTTTAAATCATGAGAGACCTAATATGTAGGAACAGCCAGTTTGTTGATTTCCAAGAAGAGAGAAAGCTATGTAGCACAGTACAGTGGGGCAACCTGGCCAAGCACATCTGTTTCCGGTAAAGAATCGGGAAGCCGCCCTGAGGCTGGATGTGGCCCGCCCGGCTCCAGGCAAGCCCTGCCTTCAGAGAAACAGTATAGATTCTATGCTTCGGTTTGTCTTTCTCCAGTCTCCATGGGCCTCCATCGTTCTGTTAGGGTGTTGCCACAGATTGTTAGGATTCACTTATTGTGCAGTAAACTGTTATTTCAGATGATTTGTTTTTTAGTGTCTGATAAGCTTTTGGAGGCGCCCTTCTCTGAGCAGCAGCGGGCTCTGAAATTGTCTCTTCAGGCAGCTCACTTTTGCACACACTAATTCCATTCCTTAATGATCCTCATTAGCTTCAGCTTCAGAGGTCACCGTGTTATGACCCTGTCCCTGAATCTGGCCTGTGGAGTTTGCACTCTGATTGTAATTAATCTAGTTGCTGTTCTCTGCCTTGACTTGATTGTGAAATAGCTGTTTCTTTTTTTCCTGTATAAAGTCATGTAAAATTAGTTTCCTGCATGGAGAACATGGAGAACCAGGCACTATGCCTACCCAGTGTGCTAGAACTCTAGCTTTTTGTCTCCAGAGAGTGTAGTGATTATTTTTTGTGTTTTGTTCTTCGTCTTCTTGAGACACGGTTTCACTATGCAGTTCAGGCTAGTCTCGAACTCACTTTGTAGCCCAGGCTGGCCTTGAACTCACTTTGTAACCCAGGCTGGCCTCGAGTTCTCAGAAATCCTCCTCACCCCAGTGCTGGGATGACAGGCGTGCCCAACCACAGCGGGCTTAGTGCTTGTTTTTTATCTGTGGAGTCAGAAACAATTTCTTTGTTGGGGCTCTTTCTACTCTGTTGAGTTTTTTGTGGAAACTGTCTTCAGGTAATTGTGTGTACTGTGTAGAGAATGATACCCCTGCCCCCTGGCTGACTCTGGCTTTCTTTAGTAATAGCTGCCGTGAAATAGTTTAAATCTTTCTTTGCTGGATGTATTGTCTAGATCAGCAGTTTTCAAGCAGGTCCAATCTGCCCATTGCTTGTAGGGCTTTTTGGGGGTGGGTACCAGAAATCGAAGTCAGGACCTCGCACTTGCCAGGCAGGTGCTGCGCCACTGAGCTAAATCTCCAATCCCCATTGCTTTTTTGTATGGCCCATGAGCCATGAATGGGTTTTATGCTTTTAAGTGGTTGCAAAAAAATCAAAAGGAGGATAGACAGCATTTAATAAACTTGAAATTTAAGAAATTTAATTTTTTTTGAGACCCAGGGTTTCTTTACATAGCCTAGGCTGACTCAAACTCAGAATCTTGCCTGAGTGCTGGAATTACAAGCATAGACCGCTGTCCCCAGCCAAATTCAAATTTCAGTGTCCATAAATAAAATTTATTAGCATAGTACAGACCCACCCGCTCATTAGATATTGCCCTTGATTGCTTTTGCACTACACCCACAGAGTTAAATGGTTGTAGCAGATTCCATGGTCCACAAGGCCTAATTTATTTCCTTACTGGTCTCTTATAGATGTTAGCTGCCTGGAGCTGGCATGGTGATGCAGGCCTTTAGTTCTAGTTCTTGGGGGGCCGTGTGGTAGTAGGATTACTGGACCCCAGGAGTTTGAGACCAGCCTGGGCAACGTAGCAAGACTCCATCTCGAAAAAGAGAATCGTTTTAGCTGGCTGGGTTTGGGTCGTGTTCTTGTGTCTGTGTGCCAGTTTTGTGACTTGGAGGGCCTTTGAAAACGATTCGTATTTGATTGCACAGTAATGTAGTCCTGAGGATGCTGGGCCAGCTTGTTTTTCCCCCTCCTTTTTCTCCAGGTACTATATTTGTCCAATGGCAAATTTCATTAAGTGCACAACTTTTGAAAAATATGGAACAAAATACTCCTTACACATGATACCTCTCAGCGTTTGCTCCCATGAATTTTGAGATCTCGCCAGCATTTCAGTGGAAGCCAATATGGGAAAGCAGGCTGTGGGACTTTTGAATTCTAGCCATAAAAAACCTCATTCTCCTTTTCTGAACTTAGTCTCTATTTATACATCTCATTATTGTATAAATATACATAGAAATCTTAGGCTGGATATTTGAAATTCTATGTTCAAGATATTTGAATTATTTTCTCTCCCTTCCTGGCCCCATTTTCTTTTCTCTTCCTTCATTGCTTCCTTTCTCATTAGTGTGACAATCTATTCAGTTTCTCTGATGTTCTTTGTCTCTCTTTGTTGGGCTTTCAGCTTAAAAAATAAAATCTTTCAGACATTTTAATGTTGAATTACTCTCCTAAAACAATATCAGGGAAATACTGATAACCTTATTTTTCTAGGACCAGTATACTGTTTTGGGTGCTTTGAATAGGATGAATCAGAGGTCAGCATATCATTCAGGTTCAGTCAGAGTGTGGAAACCAAAAGATTATCTGATCTCATGTCAGAAATGAAGAAAAGGCTTTTTTGCACCCCTGAAAATTGAATAGATGGGGTGAGGGGAGTTGGCACACCACAGTTCCCATCAGCTCGTTGACTGTTTAGACTTGTGTTTAAGATTCAGTCTCCTGTGTTTAAGTTTTTCTGTAATTATATCTTTTGCATGCTCTTTATCTTAATCTTGGGTTAGATCATTTTTTTCTGCCCACTTAATTTTCCAGCCTCCCACGAAGTTGACCAAATATAGAGAACATGTTTCAGTTCTTGGGGTCACTTTGTTATATGTCCAGCAGCAATCCTAAGAACTTTTTCTGGGACTTTAGACTCTAGACGTTATGGTTTTAAGTGTAATTTCACCTGTTGTTGGTGTATGGTGGTAATTTTTAAATAACTTTCTAACCCTCCTCCCCTTTTGCACATCATTTTTCTTGCTGTCATCATTTTAGGTTTCAGAATAAGTATACATTAAGAAACACAAATAGGAAAAATATCCTGTTATATAATAAAGACCAAGATAATTTTGGAAATGCTGTTGGGCCTTCATAAATCAATTATACCTTGTCCTCTATTCTAGGAGCTAAGGTTTGTAATGATTCATAGGTTTTAAGAAAGTTCCAGACATTGTTACCGTACGGAAATTGTATTCATTGCTCAACCTGGTTGGTTATAAAGGAGCATTATTACAGGAGTAAGGCTGTGATCCAATTACACTATTTTCCCAGAAGTTGAAATTTAGAAACTGAAACACAGATAGCTTTTGGCCTTTCATTTCCATTTGATGACATTTCTCGTACAGAGGAGTGGCCGCAGCATATGAAGGTGGAGGGGTATGAGTGTGAAGTGTGAACGGTGGCGGATGCTCACTGCAACGGATAGAAGGAGTAATGAATAGCAGTAAATCTGGCCATGGTGGCGTGTGCCTGGAGTCCCGGCTACTTGACCCCAGGAGTTCAAGACCAATCTGGGCAACATAGTGAGACCCAAAAGAGCAAACAAAATAAATAGCAATAAAAGAAACATAACCAGAATGCCCCAGAATGGACAAGAACCTAACCAGCCATTAAAAACAAAGAAGTATTAGCATGGAGATGATACCCACCGCTGCCCAGAGAGCTGTTCACACTCTGTGCACATCTGTTCTTCCCGCCTCCACCCAGTCCTCACATCCTCCTGAGAAGCAGCGTGCAGAAGAGGTGGTGTTCTTGTGAGCGTGCTGTGCCTTTCAGTGTGGGAAGGAGGATGGGATTGCACAGCAGTGGGCCTGAGCTGCTGGTCTCAGCAAGATTCCTGGTCTCAAGAGTCCTGATTCCAGCACAGAGTTGGAGCTTTCACTCCCCACGTCCCAAGCCCAGAATCTCTGATTATGAACCATAGCCAGACAGACTGGAATCTGATGAGGTAACAAGAATTAAGCCAGGAGATCGAGGGAAAGAGAAGAGAAAGGACAGTCCCCGGAAACTTAAGACTGCTTCTAAAAAAAACCAGACTGCTTCTAGCACTGGCCCCAAGATTGTAAAAGAGAGTGGCTTTAGCGAGTGTAGTGGTGCTTGACTGTGATCTTAGCACTCTTGGAGGCTGAGGCAGGAGGAATGCAAGTTCAAGCCCAGCTGGGCAGCTTATTGATTTAGTGAGACCCTGTCTTGAAATAAAAAATTAAAAAGGACGGGGGAAGTACTTTAGGGGAAAGGCTCTGGGTTTAGTCCCAGTACTGCTAAAGAAAAGGAAAGGGAGGGGAGGGGAAGGCAAGGTGAGCAGCTTAGGAGTTAAGAAGAGGTTTAGCTAACCAAAGAAAGCTTTGGAGATAAGTAGAAAGTACTTTTGAAGAAGCATCGGGCTTTCTTTCTGATTGTGGTTTTCAGCTGCTGTTGTATCAATGATCATAGCTAACCTGAAGTTTTAAGGAATTTAGGTGTCATCTAGTCTGTGTGCATTTTGTAGACAAGGGAACTCAGCACACAGCCAGGTACAGTCCTGGTTCCTGGCTAGGGTTCTATGGTAAGTTAGAAAACTAGAGAGGTGGGAGGTGGAGATTTGATTTTACAGAAGGAAAAGAACTCAAACTATTATTTTCTTCCCTTTTAGTGGAGACTTGCTTGCCCCAGGGGTATTAGGATAGTGGTACAGAATGAGGTACTAGGATAATTTGTCCCCATCTGCATGCTCACTGGGGCATGGTCCTGTGTTCCTGCAGCCTTGGTCTGTAGAAATAGGTCCACTGTGGGGTGGGCTGTGAGGGAAGGATTTGGTCTGTTGTGAAGTACAAGAAACTGACTGAGGACATCCTTTCAAGCAGCTTTCTTGAAATTTGACCACCTTGGTATGGTGATCTCCAAGCATAAATCATGTTGGTGGTACACACCTGTAATCCCAGACACTTGGGAGGCTGAGGCAAAGGATCGCAAGGTAAAGGCCTTCCTGGGCACCTTAGGGAGAACCTTGTCTCAAAAATAAAAAGGGCTGGAGATGTAACATTATCAGGGAATGGAGGGCACGCAATGTTCAGATGTTCAACTTGCCACTGTGCCAGGCTCTGTTTTATGTACTGGGGAAGTAGCGCTTAAAACTGATGAAAGTCTCAGCATCGTGGAGGTGGCGATACCGGGAGTGATGGGGCATCGCAGCTTGTCAGGGTCAGAGAAGAAGCCACAGTAGAAGGCGGGGGTAGGAGAGGAGGGAGCCGTGCTTTGAGCTGGGGAATACATAGGAAGGGCCCTGTCTGTGCAGGACCCTGGCCAGGGTGTGTGTGAGTGGGGAGCGGAGGTGCCGTGGATGAGGTGGGGTCGCTGAGAGATGGGGGCAGAGGGAGGGAGAATGAGCACGATGATGGGGTCTGAGGGGCGGGGCCGCACAGCCTGTCTCAGGTGGGAGGAGGAAGGGCTGAGCAGCGGGTAACATGGCTGACGAGGGTTTGGACTAACTTCCCAGGGATTCTCTCGGGACATTATGAAGGTCTGATTTATATTGCCGTCAACAGACTACTGAAGGCTTTGTTAACTTATACCCTCAAAACACAGTACTATTAAACTGAATTTTTACCTGATATGTGAAAAATAATGTTTTATTTTAATTTGCATTATTTTGAAGTGGGTTGACTATACTTTCCTGTGATCGGCCTTTTTATGTTCTTTGCCCTTTGAATATTTTTTCTTTCGTACTAGTTTTTTAGAGCCTCTTTCTGTCTTAATGCAGTGCAGTTATCTTCCCACTATGTTCAGACTTTTGGTACTTTCTTTGTACAGAGGTTTGAAATGTTTATGTAGTTAAATTATCTCTGTTCCTCTATGTCCTCTAGGTTTGGGGGTCACCTTATTCAAAGATACGTACATACGTAGGTAGGTAGGGTTAGTGATAGCACTATTTTTTTTCTGTAACTTTGGTAGTTTTTGCTTCAGTGTTTAGGTTTTTATTCCATCTGAAATTTATTTTGGTGTGAAGAATGGTATGTAGGGACCCAGATTTTCTGTTTTTCAGTTGACTGGTGGTTGTCTCAGCCCTGCTTGGCAACTTTATCCCTGATGTGAAATGCTATGCTACCTCAATCTGTCACTTTTGCGCTAGCATCCATTTGTTTTCCGTGTGTGTGGGTTTTTTTGTTCATTTTGTTTTGTTTTTCTGGTACCAGGAATCAAACTCAGGCAGTCCATTTGTATTTTTAAAAATAATTTAATCACCAGCTTTTTTCTTCTCTTTTTAGTGGCAGGGAGAGTGGTAAACCAGTATGAATTTGAGTGTTTTCTATTGTCTTTGTATCTTCAGGGAGATTATATCCAAGTTAGAGTGTTAAAGAGTTATTAGGCATGCTGGGAGTCAGGTAAGGGGAACATTAAGACCCGTGCTGCTGGGCTGGGTGCCAGGGGTGAGGACAGTTCAGTTTAGAGATCTCAGAGCAGAAGTAAAGCTAAGTTCGTGAAGGCCACAAAGCTGACCATAAGCAAAGTAGATGTGTATGCTGGTGTCATATGCTGGGATGATAAAATATTAGCTGACATGGAACATAAAAATTTGCTGACTGTGACAGAGGAAAAACATTTAAAAGGGAGAGAAATTAGTAGGGAGTGAAATATTGGGGCACAGGAAAACAGCTACTTCATCTGTTGTATTTCTTCTAGATTTTTGTCTTGGATCTACTCTAAATAGAACGCTTAACCTTTGTCTGAGGTTTCAGTACATTAAAAACCTTATAATTCATGCCCCCTTTATATGAAATATAAAACTTATGAAATTCAAATATGTCTATGCTGTTGCTTCGTTTACTAATACGATTATTTTAGCTACTACATAAATAATTAGCTCTGCTAAATGACTTCATTCACAGCGGGTCTTGACTTGTAGTGTGTATGCTTCATGCAAGCGTACGCCGTGGTGATCCTTTGGCAGGATTGGGACAGGGTCTGAGTCTTACATTTGAGGTCAGTGGTCTTAGACTGAGCGGGCTCACATTGCAGTCTTTCATAACAGACACAGAACACATGGCAGAGTCTTCTTTATGTGGTGTACACATGGCACATGTCCCCAGGGTTTGACCTTAATTCCTCAGAGTTTCCATTATAGGACTGGCTGGACAATGGCCCAGAACAAGCTATTCAACAAGATCCTCAAAGCCCTGCAGTCTGACCGGCTTGCCCGCTTGGCCAATGAAGGGGTAAGACACCAGAATCTGCCCGCGTGGGCTCTGCCTAGTGCAACCTCAGTGGCCGACTGATTTGTGCCCCCCACGGGGAACTTTTTTGTTCCTTCCCTTTGCTCCTTGCAGGCTTGTAATGAGCCAGTGCTGCGCCGTGTTGCCGTGGACAAGTGTGCGAGGAGGGTGCGGCAGGCGTTGGCGAGTGTGAGCTGGGACACCAAGCTGACCCAGTGGCTGCACACTACCCTCGTGGAGACCCTGAGTCTGCCCATGCTGGCTGCCTACCTGGATGCTCTGCAGACGTTAAAAGGGAAGGTAAGGCTGTGCTTGACGGCAACCTGTCCTGTAGGCAGCCAGCCGCTCCTGTGGGCTCAGGACGTGGGGTTGGGTGAGGTTGTTACCTGGTCAGCTGGGAGGGCAGGCCCGAAGCGAACAGGTTTGCCACTGGAAATAGAAGACAGTAGAGTTCTATGTTTGCGTCTGGTGTCAGTGTCTTCAGCCTTATCAGCCTGCATGAGGTTTGAGGCCTGAACACCAGAATACACTTTTACCTTCTGCAGCCTTGCAGCTCCTGGTTTAAGTACTTGTGGACTTGAAATGTCATGGAGGAGATGAAGGTTCAGCAGAGGGGAGTGCAGCTAGAGGGCCAGGCGATTACAGAGCCAGGAGGTGTTGTGGAGCCTTAGGTAGCGATGCTTGGATAGCAGTACTTATTACAGGTGTCATCACGCAGCCCTGCTTGCTGACTGAGACAGCAGAGTTAAACTCGTTTTCTTGGCGATGCTGGCTTATTGTGCAGTCGGTAACCACATTGGCCTGTCCTCTGTGGTAGAGAGCAGGTTCTGGAGGCAGGTGATCACCTGGCCGCTCTGCTGTGGCTTGAACTCAGATGAGTGCCTGGGTTTCCTCATCTCCAAAGCACCTGGTCACAACCCTGTCTGCAGTTCCTGGAAGGATGGAGAGGGTGAATCAAAATAGAGTGCTTGGTGCAAAATGCAGAGTAAGTCTGTAGTGACTGTTAAGGATGTTTATGTGATACTCTCATAGGTTCTTGAAGTATGGATGTATTTTGTTCCAGTACAAAAACGGCCTCAGGCAACTTGAATTAATTCAATCCTTGACTTTTTTTTTAAACTTTCTTTTTTGCTAGGGATGCTAGGGATTGAACTGAGGGCCTGCCAGGAAAATGCTCATCTCCAGTGTGTCTTCTCACTCCCACAGGCTTTCTTTCTCTTGCAGGCTGCTGACCCATCTGGCTGCTATAAGTTGTCTGTCTCTAGCCATAGCACTTTCAGACTCTATTTCTTAACCTGTTAAGTTGCAGGATGATGTGTTTGCTAGAAAGCTGAAGAAGGCTGCTTTAGTGCTGAAATGAAGCTCAGGACTACATACATTAATGATGTACATGGTAGGGAGTTTGACCTTCCACTTTCTTTTCCGCTAATTATTTTGTGCTAACGATGCATCAGGCCTAAGGGGGAATAAACAACTGTTCCTGCTCTGCTGGAGTTCATTTTCCAGTGGAGACTGAGATAAGTGAGAAGTTCCTCCACAGCAAGGACCCTGGCCTGGGAGTGAGTGGCGGGCAGGCGTAGGCACAGGCAGGGGGTGGGGACAGAGTGAGCCCTTGGCAGAGCCGTGGCTCTGAGTGTTGTGAGCGTCTGTACGTCTGTTCTCCCTATTACTGTCCCTGCACTAATGGCACAGCCTTGGAGCTCCTGTCCTGGGGGGTGACTTCTGGTGGGGCCTGGGGCATGCACTGGTGTCCTCAGCTCTCTCACGGCTCTGCCTTGCTTGCTCTGGCCAGCATGATTTGGTTTCGCCCTGTTTGTAGACAGTCCGCGCTCCTTCATCATGTAAATTACCGACTGGCTGTGTCTCCCAGGAATGAGGTAGCATCAGCTATTTTGAACGTGACAGGCACTTTTAGAGACTGCACAGGTGTGCACAGTGGGGACTGCGTGGCCATGCTGCTGGGCCACAGTGCAGGTCAGGTGGGAGGTGCACATTCCACCAGGTGCCATCGCATGGGCCTCAGACCAGGGCGCTGTCCACACTGGGCTGTGCTCTCCACGTGGTTACTGACACCATGACTGTGTTTAGAGGCACAGCGGACGCTTTGGTATTTCCCAGAGGATATAAGTGATTACAGGGTTATTTCGCATTTAAAGTACCTGCTGGGTGTTAGACGCAGCTGGATGGGATCATGCCGTTGGCCTAGGTACTTTGACCGTGAGCTCCATTACAAGCAGAGTAGAGACCACACACAACCAGCCTCTGAATCGTGTGTTGAGAGTGAATATAGCACTGGAAAAGCCAGGGAACTTGCCCTTCCGAGCACTGAGAGGATAAGTCAGTTATTGATTAATCTGTGTTGACAGAAAGTGAGTTTCAAGGCCCTTTGGTTTCTCCTGCATACCTGGCTGCCAGATAAAGGTTTTTAAGTCAACTCTCCTCAGTGTTACTGCCTTATAAGTGTAGAATAACTCAGACAGGGAGTTACAGAGAATGGCCAGGTTGGGGTGGAGAGCCTTTGCAGTTTAGCTGTAGCCTTTGTTACCAGCCTTACTTCCTGCTTCCTTGCTCACATCTTCAACTTCAGTCTGCCTGTGCCTGGAATGAGCCCCAGATGTCGTCTCTCGCTTGTCTCTCATCTGCTGTTGACATCCTGCCTGTTCTAAAGAGATTTTCGCATGCTCCGTCTTCAGATGAGAATTGCCCTGTAACCTCCCCTTTTCTGTGGGATGGTTGATCAGCACTGGGGGCTTCTGTTTCTCCTGTGTTGACCCGTGTGTGTCTTCCTCGCTCCTTGTTGGTGAAATTCCTCTGGTGCCTTGTGACAGCAGCTGTTGCATAGACATTCTTTTCCTGAGTTAACTGAAACAGTTTCATGGTTATAATTCCCTAATTTCTCACATGGAAAGTTTCCTTTTAGTTCCTCCCTCCTCCCCCTCTCCTCCCCCTCCCTTCTCCCTCTTTCCTCCTCCTCCCCCCTCCTTCTTCTTCCCTCCCTAATTCTCTCCCTCCCCCCCCCCTCCCTGTCCTTTCCCTCTTCCCCCTCCTCCCTCCCTTCTTCTTCCCTCCTTCTCTCTACCTTCCTCCTCTTCGTCATTCTCCCTCCTCCTCTCCCCGTCTCTCTTTTGTGGTGCTAGGGCTTGAACCAAGGGCCTTGAGCATGCCAGGCAAGCACTCTACCACTGAGCTACACCCCCAGACCCTAGTCTTTAAATTAGGAGCAATTTACCAGCTGCTACCTTTGAAGTTTTATAACCTGCTTCCCAAACCATAGCACTTTTTATTCTTCAATCTCTCAAAACTTTTTTTGGTTGTTTGCTTTTCTGAAAACCATCTCTAACATGTAAAACCCTTCTTTCCCAGTCACCTTGGGAGGTATAGAAGTTACAGAGATATTTCCTCATAGTGTAAGCATCAGCATATCTGAAACTTGTATTTACACATCTGTGAGGTCGCATTTTGGGGAATAGTAAGAAACAGGATATGGTATAAATCACAATACTCACAGTACAGTGGGATATGTTTTTTTGACACAACAGGTACATGAGTATACCACGGCTTGAAGGCTATATTCTAGAAGAAAATGCAGATGTTTAAAAATTATACTATCAGCTGGTGTTCACTGAGAAGTCTATAGATGAAAAAGACCCATAACTCCACAGAGATTATTATATAAACATTTTAGCATATTCTATCGTGTTTTCTGAGTGCAGGTAAAATTTTTCTGTTTTCTTTTCAACGTTTAGCAAAATTACTTTTTTGTTTTTTTGAGATAGGCTCTCGCTATGTAGTCCAGGCTGCCCTTGAATTGGCTATGTAGCTGAAGGTGGCCTCTAACTCATGGTGATCCTCCTGCCTCAGCCTTTTAAATGCTGGGATTATAGGCATGTGCCACCATGCACAGCTAAAATTATTTCTATGTGTTATGCAAATTTTTTGAATATTTGAAGATACCCAAAAAGATGGATAATTCACTTAACCACTCCCTTATATGTACACTTAGATTGTTTCCATTTTTTATTTTTACTGCTAGCGAATTTGTCTGTGCATAGCTTTCCTTACCCTTGTGCATGGATTTTTGGTATATTTTCTTAGGGGAGGTTCTTGGAAGTGGAATTGTTTGGATAAAGGAGGGAATAAGCTTAAGCCCCGCCACCCATCACCAGATTACACCTCTGCTCCCAGGGAAGCCGTGGTGGGAGGCCTGGTGGAGCCTGTCCTCCTGCTGACTGCTGGAGACTGGGCAGGACTCATCTGTACTTCTCCCCATCTCTAGATCCCGACCTTGATTGACCGCATGCTCGTGTCATCCAACACGAAGTCTGGGGCTGCAGGAGCGGAGGCCTTGTCTCTCCTCCTGAAGAGGCCATGGGACCCTGCTGTGGGTGTCCTTTCTCATAACAAACCAGTAAGTTGGGTGGCTTGGGCTTGACAGTGACACATGAAATGGTTGCAGTCAACCCTGGCAGGGGGATGATACATGGCTTATGTAACTTTCTTCATTAATAACTTGTTCTTGTTTGTTAGTTTGTTTTTGTTTAGTGATACTGAGGATTGAACCCAGGGAGCACTGAGCTACATCCTCAGCCTCTGTACTTTTTAAAACTTTATTTGAGACAGGGTCTTGCTGCATTGCCCACGCTGCCCCAGGCTCCCAAGTCACTGGGATTGCAGGCGTGGGCCACCATGCCTGGCAGTAACTTAGTTTTTGTAGAGCTTCCTATAGCTTCGTAGCCGTGGAGTACTGAGGGGTGCTGGGCGCCTCTCCCTCACTGGCTCTCAGGTGGCCTTCTCTCCCTCAGAGCAAACTCCCGGGCTCTCCTCTGATTCTCATCGCCTCTTCAGGCCCCTCCAGCTCCATGTTCCCCACCTCACGCCGCCACCGCTTTTGGCAGTCTCAGCTCTCCTGCTTAGGCAAGGTACGTGCGGTGCTGAGGAAACCCTGGGTGGGAGGATGGAGAAGAAACTTGGAGAGGAGTCAGATGGGTGAACTCGTGTGTGGCGCAGCCCCCAACCCTGTTTGTGTGTGTTTTGGTTGTGCTTATCCAGGGCTGGAGAGCTGGGGTTGGTCGGGCAGAGCTGAGAAGGTGCGGAGCTCACCTGTGCGGGCTGGGTGTCCTTGTCTCTTCTAGGTCATCCCCGTGGCCACCCACCTGCTGAACAGCGGCAGCGGGGTGGGTGTGCTGCAGTGTCTGGAGCACATGATCGGGGCAGTGCGGAGCAAAGTGCTGGAGGTGAGGTGCCCTGCTTGGAGCCCTGTGGCGCACCCAGCATTCTGGGCCTGGTCTGTCCTTGTCTGGGGCCTCCTGTCTTAACAGTGTTCTTTCTTTTCCCAAAAAGATTCACAGCCATTTTCCACATAAACCAGTTATCTTGATTGGCTGGAACACGGGAGCTCTGGTGGCCTGTCACGTAAGTAATTTCCTTCTCATCAGGAGGAAGTTCCCAATTTCACTAACAAATTAGAAGTTGTCTCGGTATAATGCTGCCATTGCTGCTAGTTGCTGCGAGGGATCCTTTGGTGTTGTATTTTAAACTGTGGAAGACAAGCTTTAGTTTTCTGGTTTTTTTTTTTTTTGAAAGAGTAAAACAAAATTTCATAACCAGAATAATGATAGTTAATACAGTGTATATCATACTTTCGAAAGCTTTAGTTCTTTAACTTTATTGTAGACTATTGTAAGGAGAAACAAAAGCAGGGGAAGTAAACTCTTGGACCTTTCACCCAGCCCTGCCATCAGCTCAGAGCCAGGCTCGTCTTAACCCTACCCAGTCTCTTTCTCCCCCAGGTTTGGTTCAGTTCAGTTCTCTTCTCCCCTTCCCTCCCCTCCCCTCCTTTCAGGCAAGCTGTCTCTGTGTAGCCCAGGCTATCTTCCAGCTCATGATCCTCTTGCGTCAGCCTCCCAAGTGCTGGGATTATAGACGGCTCCCGGTTTATCCCACAGGTTATTTTGAATAAAGATTGAAATGCCATATTATCTCATTTGTATATGTCTCCAAACATGAGTACCAGTATTCTCCCACCTTATTAATAATTCCAGCAGGCACTAATTAATAGCTCTGGCATTTGATGTTATACTTAAGTTTGGTCCCTTTATAAGACCAGCGGGACTTGTTCTTTATTATCTTAGCTTCTTACGTCTGCCAGTTAGTGTGCCCTTGACATGTCCAAAACCTCTTTCTTCTACCAAGTGTGATCCCTAGAGTAGTGGGAAGGCGTCTGATCATACCCCCTGTACAGGCCCAGGGACAGCAGAACCTGTCACTGACTGCTGTGAGAGATCTGGGGTGTCTGGGAGCTATTCCAAAGCCCAGCAGAGTGAGATTTTCTCCACTTAAAGGAAAATGGTGGGGCTGGGGATTTAGCTCAGCAGCACAGCGCCTGCCCGGCAAGCGCAAGGTCATGAGTTCAGTAAAGGAAAATGGCAACATTTGTGTTCTCTTTGTTTTTTGTGGTGTTGGGATTGAGCCAACGAACTCTCCTCTACCACTTAGCTGTGTCCCCAGCCCAACAATTTGTGTGTTCTCTTGATTTATCTTAGTACTGAGAGAAACAGAGCAGGAGCCCTGTAGTATAGGGGCTGCTGGGGTGAAGTGTTAAACCCCGGTCCTATGGTTCAGCCATCTCTGTGGTCCTTTCAGCGCCTCAGCTGAAGGGCTGAGGAGTGGCTGCTTGTAAGACCGGGCACCTTGTGTTCCATGATCTTTCTCTGCCTTCGTGGCTGACTCCCCTGGGATCAGCACAAAGGCAGGGTAAGGGGGACTGGCTGGTGGATCTGAACCACATCTGGATTGTGGGCAGGCTGAGGTGCAGTGAAGTCAGACAGAGAGACAGACAGTGCCATTATTTACAGGTGTCAGTGATGGAGTATGTCACGGCTGTCGTCTGCCTTGGGTTTCCTCTCCTTACAGTGGATGGCCCTCGAGGGGTAAGAGCGAGGTGAAATTGCATGCTGGACCTGGGACAGCCGGGGGCAGGGGGCAGTGCCCTGCCTGGGGCCGGTGCTCTGCAAGGATTAGCGGGCTGAATCTAAGCCTGTCCCTCTTTCAGGATGTGGATGATCCCCTCTTAGACATGAAGACTCCGGTCCTCTTTGTCATTGGTCAGAACTCTCTGCAGTGTCACCCGGAAGCTATGGAGGACTTCCGGGAAAAGATACGCGCGGAGAACAGCTTGGTGGTGGTCGGAGGAGCTGACGATAACCTCAGGTGGGCAGGTCCCTAGAGCTGCTCAGAGCGCATGGCATTATTAGAAACAGGGTCTGGAGGGGCAGTGTAGTTACACCACTCTGGTGCTACTAGAAGTAGCATTAATATTTTTAAACAATTTTAGCCGGGCATGGTGGTGCAGGCCTTTAATCCCAGCGCTTGGGAGGCTGAGGCAGGAGGATCATTGTGAGTTCGAGACCAACCTGGGCTACAAAGTGAGCTCAAGGCCATCCTGAACTGCATAGCAAGACCCTGCCTCAAAAAGACAGAAAAAAAATTTTTTTTATTTCAAATTTATAAAAGGTGGTAAAATTAGGTACAGAGTCCCATGTACCTTTCACCTAGATTTCCCCTGTTGGCCTCTTATATAACTGAAGTATAATTCCCAGAATAGGAGAATACCACTGCTATGACAGCATTATCACATCTGCAGACTCAGATTTCATCCATTGTCTCCGTAATAGTATCCTTTTCTGACCCTGATCCAACCCAGGATCACACATTGCCCCTCATTAGCACGTCTCCTTAGTCTCCTGTAATTTATACAGTTCCACAGTCTGTCTCTGTCTCTCATGACTGTGACATTTTTTAATTACAGTTCAGTTGCTTTGTAGGCTGTCTTTCAGTGTAAGTTTTTGACATTTATTCTGGTTACATCAAGATACGCCTTTTTGACAGGAAGGCCTCAGTGGTGTGCTGCTGGGTGCCTCCCGTTGGTAACGTCTGCCACTGAGCTGTCTTCTTGCTATGGATAGCACCCTGACCACGTGGTTAAGGGCACTTCTGCCAGGTTCTCCCCTGTGAAATTACTGTTTTTCCCTATGTAATTAGTAGCTGTCTTGTGGAGAGAAGATACTTTGAGACTTTGTAAATACACCTTTTGTCTACTTTCACTGGGGCCGGCAATTTAGAAATTTTATTCCTTAGGATGAATGTGAATATAGGTGTTACTGGCATGAAGCTCCTTAGGCATCTTTCGGAGTATACATGTAGGGGAGCTGTAGGAAGGTAGCTTTGTTCATTGAGACAGCCACTCAGCTTGCTCACGGTGCTGGGCATGTGGGCCTGGAGTTGGGTTTTCATGAAATGTGCTGAAAATGAGAGTATGACATTTATTTGTCCTCGGGTTTCTGTACGCTCAATCTTACAGCTAAATTTTGGCTATATGTTTAACTGCAGAGCTTAAAACAAGTCCCTGCTCCTGTCTTTCCAGCTTTCTGTGCAGATGTTTTGGAGATGTCCTCTTGGCTTTGGTTATTCATCAGTATCTTCTTAAATTTGATGTTTAGTTTTTGGATCTCACTGCCATGCTTTCATGTAAACATGACTGTTTTTCTTAGTAATTCAGGCATTCTTATTGACAAGAGAAGAATGTGTGTTGCCCTGAGGGAGGGGAGTCGGGAGATAGGAATTCTATCACTTCGCAAAACTCGTCAGTAGACATATTCTCACTTACTCTCATCGTACAAGAGCATTGGCTGAGAATTAGGAGACCTCGGTTAGTCTCTACCTCTTTGCTTAGAAGCTTGGATAAGTTGTTTAATGTAGGCAACTCTGTGTGCTAATGTGAAAGATACCAGATACCTTTTTTCTGAGACAAGGTCTACCTTTGTAGTATAGGTTGGTCTTGAACTCACTGTGTAGCCCAGGCTGGCTCAGGGACCCTTCTGCCTCCGCCTCCCAAGTGCTTGGATTACAGCCATGTGCCACCATGCCCAGCATTACCAGATACCTTCCACAAGATCAGAGACTAACAGCTGGTCAATTAGCGGATCAGAATTCAGAGATTTATTAATGTTATTCCACATCCTGTAACGTGGAGGTCTGACCTTTTTTTGCCAGTCCCCTAGCTAGAAGCCAGAGTTTTAAGGCTAGCTTTCAAAGAGGGGAATGTAGCTGTCTATAGTCATTTTTTCATATCCCTTTAATACTAACATGTGAGCCTCCATTTCTCCTAATGCAGTAACCTTGGAGTATGTGGGGACCATATTGGGGGAACTCTGAGTAAGGGCCTAGCAGTCCATATGGACTTCACCTGTTAAGCGAGGAGTATGGGACTTTTAGAGTGGGCAGTCCCTGGCACTGTGCTTGGTTCTTTATATAGGTTGGTTTTTTGTGTTTGTTTTTCAGAGAGGGACTCCCCATGTAGTTCAGGTTGGTCTTGAACTTACTATGTAGGCCAGACTGGCCTTGAACTTGAGGTGATCTTCTACCTCAGCCTCCTAAGTGCTGGGATTGTAGGCGTGTGCGAGCATGCCCAGCTATACAGGCTGTTTAGTTTAATCCCTGCAACTTTTTGCAGGGATTCCACTTTTTGCAGATGTAAAAATAGGCTCAGAAAGGTTGTATCACCTGCCTGCACCCTCCTCCCCAGGCCTCGAAAGCAGTGTGGATGACAAATCCATTCTTCCACAGGATGCCATGGACTGCTATGTTGAAAAAATAAAACATCTTCTCTTTTTTTCCTCTTAGAATAAGCAAAGCAAAAAAGAAATCAGAAGGGTTGACTCAGAGCATGGTGGACAGATGTATTCAGGTACTGAGTTGTCTTGTGTCTGTTTCAGCTAGACCCTCCTTTCTCCCGCCGACCAGCTTTTTTTGGAAGACAGTGTCTCACACCATATGGAGGCTGGCCTTGAGCTCACTATGTAGCTGAGGCTGGCCTTGAACTCATTGCAGTCCTCCTGCCTCAGCCTCCCAAGTACTGGGATTACAAGTGTGCGCCACCACACCCAGCGTCTCTCCCCTTTGAGGCTGGGACTTTCTGTCAGCAGCCTCTGGCTCTGGATGCTGAGGAGTGTCCACTGGGCCTCCAGTGGGCCTGAGTTACAAACAAAGAAGGGGAAAAAGGAGAAAGGGAACAGAGAGAGTTGTGAGCTGAGAAGGCAAAAGGGTATGCGAGGCGGGTCGTGGCACATCCTGTCCACTGCACTCCTCATGGCGCCTGCTAATCTCCAGCCACCTCTGGAGGCTGGAGTTGAGGTGGGGTCACACTTTGAGCTTTTGGGTGAATCCTCTTCTCCAGTGGTGGCCTCAACAGCTTTGCTTCCTTCTGACTCTAGGATGAAATCGTGGACTTCCTGACTGGTGTGCTCACTCGCACTGAGGGCCACGTGGGCTCAGAGCCCCGGGACCAGGACGCCGAGAAGAAGAAGAAGCCCCGCGACATGTCCCGCAGAGACCTGCCCTTCGAGGTCCCCGAGCGGGGCAGTCGGCCTGCTTCCCCAGCCGCCAAGCTGCCTGCCTCGCCCTCGGGCTCAGAGGTACCACAGGCAGGGAGGGGCCGCGGCCTGGGAATGAGGACCACATCTGTGGTTCCTTGGCTTCCCAGGGCTGCCTGGGAGTTTGCACGAGGGGAGTGCTGGAGGACACGCGGACAGTGGTGGCCCAGATGACACTGGCTCACCTCTTGGCTTCTCCCTCTACTCAGGATCTCTCCAGTGTGTCCAGCAGCCCCACCTCCAGTCCCAAGACCAAGGTGACCACAGTGACCTCTGCCCAGAAGTCTAGTCAGGTTGGGAGCTCTCAGCTGCTGAAGAGGCACATGCAGCGGACAGAAGCTGTGCTGACCCACAAACAAGCCCAAGGTACAGTCTCCTGGCCTGGGCACCCCAGGGCTTCTGCTTCTGAAGTTGATATCGTGAAGAGTTGGGAAGCACTTGGTCCACAGCTTTCTCCAGGGAGGTGTGAGAGGCAGCCTTTCCCCCATTCCTGTCCAGGCAGAATTAGGTTAAAATGAATCTCAAGGGTTGTGCCTTAGTGGGGCTTTCTGGTCCCTAGTTACAGCTTTTCTTGTGCAGGGAGAGTTGGGTTTATGAGCTGTATGTATGCTGGCCTAAGCTCTTCCATAGCACTCAGTGGGAAGCTGCGTCTTCATGTGCTGCAAGCTCTGCCAGCCTCACCTGCGGTCAGGGAGCTCTCCAGGTCATACCTGCAGGGTGACAGACTACGCACCAGATTCTAGTGGGGCTCGCGTGGTCTCATGTCCTTTCTTTGTATTGCTCTTGAAGAGTTAAGCTTCCTGTGGTGGGAATGATGGAAGTTGGCCGGGGTTCTCTGCACATAGGTTTTAGATGAGACTGGGAAACATTTGCATGGCTGGAATTAGTTTGGGGAGCTGCACAAAAGGGAGAATCTGGTGGGCGGGGAAAGCCGCAGCAACAGTGGTTCCCCACACACTGGTATCCAGGTGGGCGCCTTTTTGGCAGTGGTGTTTGATGGTATGTCCAAGAGCAGGTGCATTTGAGATTCTTGGGAATAGTCCCTGAGTAGAGGCAGCAGCCTGAGCTGGCTGTTGAGCAGAGGATGCCTCAGGCAGAGGAGGCTGACCTTGCCTACCCTGTGTGGCTTTTAGTGGAGCCCAGGCCTCTTGTAAGGTTGCTTGAAAAAATGGTGCTGACAGGAGCGGCTGTGTGAGTGGTGGGTGAAGGCGGAGTCAAGGCCCTGCGAGGGCATCCTGCGACCTGGCTGTTCCTGATGGTGGCCACAGCCACGCTGTAGGTGGGCGGTAACCCTGAGACATTCGATGACTCAGGCCAGCCATCTGCAGTCCTCTGGGCAGTGTGACAGTTGCGAACCCAAGGAGTTCTGGAAGGCTGATGGCTGAGTTGGGTTTGAAGCAGCAGTGGTGGGCAGGTGGGGACCAGCAGCTCACGTAAAAAGCCCTGGCCATGGGCCCTCTGGTGCCCTGGTTCACTGAGTCTCGGCGGTGGCTCAGGAGGCGCGTGTGTGTTGTCCTTGGTTTATGGAGATTCCATGGAGCTGCTTGCTCCGCGGCAGTGTGAAACCTCGGGAAGAGCTGGCCACTTCCATCTTTTTCTCACTCTTTCCCCTGTCCTCCTCTCCTTGGCTGGCTGTGATTCTGTAATTCTTTCTGATTCATTCCAGCACAGTTTGCTGCTTTTCTGAAACAAAACATGCTGGTGAGGAAAGCTCTTCCTCCCGGCACCTCCTGTCTTGTTGGTGAGTATTGCTCCTTCTCTCCTGCCTGTCCTCTGCTCTCTGCTCCTCTCCCCGCCTGTCCTCCATGTGTTCTGTATCCTCTGTAGTTTCTTTCTGCCACATTCTGTCTCCTGGTTCTTCGGGCAACTCCTTTTGCTTACGCAGTCAGTGGTCTCTGCTCTTTCCCCATTCTTTTTGCTTGCTCCTGGTAGTGTTTTGCTTTTCTCTCTCTTGCTGTGGTTCTCAACCCTGCTTCTCCTGTGTGTACCCATTGCCTGTGAGCCTGAGTTTCCTGGTCTGTCCTCTCCCTGCCTCTCTTCTGTTTCCATCCCGGCAGCTGCAAGCACACCAGCTGCTTCTCTGTGTGACACCTGTCACTCCTGTTCTCTGCCTACCTTCCTCCTCTGGTTGCAGCCAGCACACCTGTCCCTGGAGTTGTCCCTCAGCCGTTGACACCCTCACTGTGGCCCCAGGCCAGGAGCCCCTTCGTCTGCCCCTCCCCACCTCCCAGCCCTGTGTGCCTGTGCTGATAGGGATGGGGAACTTCTGATCCAGAGGAGGGAATGGCGGGGGCTGAAGAATAGCTTGAGTCTCACAAGCATGGCTTGGTGCACGATGAGTCTGTTGGAGTCAGTGGAGGGAGAAGCCTGAGTGCTAATAGCCCTGGCGCAGATGACCTGGGGACTAGATTGTGACAGGGGCCACTGCTACCCTGTTCCTGAGAGCCACCATGAAGGCCTGTTGCTTGTCCTCATGGCCTCCGTGTGTCAAGCAGGCCCCCAGCCTTGGGCTTTTAGGGGAGGGGGGATTCCTGAGAGCCGTGTGAAAACCCCTGCACAACACTGTGTGGCCTGCTCCTCTGCAGTGCTTTGTGCAGTGTTCACTGCCACCAGTGTAGGAATACGTAGGGAGGGCTTGCGACCAGAAGGTAGCAAGCACGTAGGAGGACTGTGGGGAGGCTCTAGCTATTGCCTCTGCTGGCCAGGGTTGGTGTCTTCCGTCCTCTTCACAAGGCCCCTTCCATGTAGCTCTAAGTCAGGGTGACAGGTGGCGTGGTACCATCTCCTGAGAAGGGCATGGAAGGGGTCACCACAGCGGGGCCTGAGCTGGGGCTGTGCAGTGAGTTCCCTCGTGTCCCCTTATGCAGTGTCATTTTTGGCTGTGGAGGAGCTCACGTGCACTCCATGTCTTAGTTCCCATTTCCTCAGAGCCAGCGGAGGAGGTGGAGAAGGAGGAGCTGAGGGTCCAGCTGAAGCGGCACCACCCCTCCAGCCCTCTTCCTGGTAGCAAGGCCTCCAAGCGGCCCAAGATCAAAGTGTCCCTCATCTCACAAGGGGATGTGGCCGGAGGGGCTCCAGAAGGTGAGTCTCAATAGAGGAACTAATATATATCAGGTACAGGTACAGATTCACTAGTGGATGTGATCACTGGGCATCTCTAACGTGTACCAATAGACTTAATTATGGAAAATACAAAGTGCTCAGAAGGTGAGCCTCGTGGCTATGAGAAGTAGTCTGGCTGTCCAGGCACAGAGCGCTGCCCTTGAAGGCGCCACCTCTGTGAGAGACTCGAGGGGGCACAGGGGCAGCGACCTCCAGGGACAGGAGTTGGAGTGTGAAGGGTGCTGAGGCCCACTTAGCACTGTGTACTGTATTTTGTTCTTTTTGGCTTCAGTGAATGATAAAATACTCTAGGAAGCTTCAAAAATGGAAAGGGAAGTGACGCCAACAGCCCTTGGGCTGACACGGCTGTTCTTTCTCCCTCCTGTAGGTTCCGTTCATAATACGGTATCTTGTGCTTAGCCTGGTTTACGGAATGTGGAAAGGTAGGGCCAAGCAGGACTGACTGTGACCTTAGGTTTCTGTTTTGCAGCTGCGGGAGGAAAGCCCATCACCATGACGCTGGGCCAGGCATCCGTGGGGACCAAGGAGCTCACCGGGCTTCTCACCACAGCCAAGTGAGTCGGCCATTGGGCTGTCTGGTCCTTGCTTTCCCTTCACTCCCGTCTGGCTCTTTGGTGCTTCAGGAAGTCGGTGGATTCCAGATTCTTCAGTCCTGGGAACATGACTATCTCTTAATTGGGACCTTTGTCTTTGATTTGGGTCCACTGAACGTTCACTGTTAGGTAGAGATTGCAGTGTCTTGCTGTAAGGACTGGTTCTCCAGGCCTGACTTTTAGGGCCAGAGACCAGCTTCAGGAATGGGTCAGAGAAACTGCGCGCTCTACTCTGTGTCCAGGGTTAAGAGTCTTGCCGGGCCTTCGTCAGCCCTCCCCTGTGTTGCTAGAGTCTGCTGCATGCTGACCCTTGGGTGACTGAGCTCCTGTTTGCTCCAGGTCAAATGCTTCTGAAGGTGGAGTTGCGGCCAGCCCCACCCCTGCAGGGGTCTCCAGCAGCACCTCTCCCAGTGCTCTGCACACACTCCAGAGCCGCTTGGTGGCCACGTCTCCTGGCAGCTCCCTCCCAGGTATCTTATCACCCAGTATCCCCCCAGCACATCATCTTGGTCTGCTACTGGCAGGGGGTCTTGGACAAGCCTCCTTGGAGTTGGCCCCTGGAGTTGGGCCATGATGTGGGTGGTCAGTGGTCATAGAGAGTGACAGGAAGCCAGAATCAGCTTCGGTGGAGGGAATTCCGTAATCTTAATATCTGTATTGAGCAAATGTCCCTGTCTTCAGGGGCTGTGTCCTCTCCTATAAGGACGGGGAATAGGGTTAGCGATGTCACTTGGTATTGAGCACTTGCCTAGCAGGTGCCAGGTCCTGGCTTCCATCACCAGCATGGGGATAGGGTTAGGGAGATACGGCTAAGAATGAGAAATAGCTTGTGGGTGATGCACGTTTTGGGTTGTATTTGGGGTTTTAAACACATCTGACAACGCAACTGGAAACACTGCTGTACTTGTCGCTAGCAAAATGAACTGCTTTCCTGCCTGTCCTGTCCCCCATTTTCTCTGAGCCCACCTGCACAGGGTGGTGGTCACCTGAGCCTACAGACTGGCACTACCACTTCCCCCTCCTTCAAGAAGACTCCCTGTTTGTGCCACAGCTGTGGGACTGTGTGCAGATGAAGTGTGAGTCAGGTGTCTACAAGCTGGTGGCCTTAAAAAACCCTTTCTCTTTGCTGGACTAAAGAAGGGACTTTAGATTTCTGAAGTGTAATTCAGGCACTCGTGGGTTTTCCCAGTGCTGTCCTGAATGTGGGACCACCTGGTGGGAACTCCCAAGTTTGGAGCAGGCTGAGATGTGCAGAGCAAATTCAAGGTTGCGTCTGTATGTTTCTTGCTGTGGCACCCCTTGTCATGCTGGTGGTGACCCTTCTGAGGGCAGGGAGTGTCTGTCCAAGGGCTCCCAGGTGTCTGGGGCTGGTGCGGCTGGACCATGTGGCTGCCCTGGGGGAACTGTGCGCAGTTTGCTGATGTTCATTGTGTCCTCTCCTAGGGGCAGCTTCAGCTAGCAGCCTCCTCCAAGGCCTCAGCTTCAGCCTGCAGGATATCAGCGGCAAGAGCTCCGGCCTCCCCACGAACCCCTCCTCGGGCCTGGCCGCGCAGGTGGGCTCTTACTTCTGCAGCACAGTTGGTTTTGGCAGAGTGGAGGGCCTGGAGTCAGTAGGTCGAGGACAGGCAGCTGAGAGCTGCCAGTGGGGAAGGTCCATCACTTACTGCGTGGCAAAGGGCAAGTTTCTTGGTCTCTGTGTCCTGTTACTTATTGGTAAAATGAGGTGATAATACTAGCTCTCTCCGAGTTGTGAGGATTAAAGATGATACATGCCAAGATCCTGGCAGACCTGGCCCTTGATGGGTACTCTGTGTGTGTCAGCCTTCAGCAGTTCGCTGTGGGCACTCCACACTGGGACACTGCTGCTGGATGTCAGCTTCTGACTGCTTGGGCTTGTGTGTCCCACAGGCCACCAGTGTGAAGCTGCCCACCCCCATGCAGAGCCTGGGTGCCATCACCACTGGCACCAGCACCCTTGTCCGTACCATTCCAGTGGCCACCACTCTCTCCTCCTTGGGCACCACCCCTGGTGGGAAGCCCACAGCCATCCACCAGCTTCTGACCAACGGAGGCCTCGCTAAGTTGGCAAGCAGCCTTCCTGGCCTGGCTCAGATCTCTAACCAAGCTTCAGGTGAGTCTTGTGAGAACATGGGGCCTGCAGATCCCTTCCCCTGGGAACTCCCATTTTGTGTGGGTGAGGTCTGAACCCAACTCTATGTCCTGGGATCACCCTCAGGTTCAGCTGTGTGGACTCAGCCCTAGAGAGGCTGCGGGGGTACAGGCTCTGTCCTGCTGCCTTCTGGAGTTGCTGACTGGGTGTGCAGGGCCCAGCTAGAGGAGTGGTGTGTCTCATGGGGAAAGTTCTCCTGGGGCAGAGAGTGGAGGCCATGACCAAAACCCCCATTCTCATCTTCCTCTCTCCCTCTTTCTCTTTCTGCCTCACAGGTCTGAAAGTCCCCACCACCATAACTCTGACACTCCGTGGCCAGCCAAGCAGGATCACCACACTGAGCCCCATGGGTTCGGGGCCAGGTGGGCCTGAGGAGCCCATGTCCCAGGCGCTGGCCTCCAGCTCACAGGTGAGTGCCCTGGAGACTAGGGAAGTTTGGGCAGCTAGCGGCCGACCAAAGGCGGCCAGCTGCAGCGCAGGCCAGCTACTCCAGTCAGCCGCTGGCCTGCAGTGCAACTGGCAGCAGACCAGATCAGATCCACTCGGGCTTTGTAGCTTTGCCTCTTGAGCAAGTCAAAGGCCAGTTTGAGTCTCCTCCTCTGTGACACTCCTGGGTTTCACGAAGATTAGATAGTAAATAACTGGAGTGCGTGGTGGTGGTGGCACCTGGCTGCTTACTCTTTTCCTTTTCTGCCTGTCCCAGTCCATTATTTATAGAGCTATGAGAGAGGCACTATTCAGGCCATTCTCTCTGCCTAACACCTTCCCAGGTCTTAGTGTTGGTTGCTGTCTTCTTAGGGCACAGCTAATCTCAGGAAGTCACCATCACTTCCTCTTACCCGTTCTGGTTTCCATGGTGACTAGTTGATGTTGGTTTGATTTTGTATTTTTTACTTAGGGTCTAACTAGGTAGCCAGGCTAGGCTTTACCTCCTGATCCTCTAGCCTCAGGCTCTCAGGTGTTGAAATTATAGGCATGTGCTTCCACCTTTTGCTCTAATATGACATTTTCAATAAAATGTTTGTAATCTTTAAAAAGTTCAGCCCAGTGGAGTAGAGCATGCTTTCCTCCAGAGTACACTGTTGAGCAGGGACCACTCTGTGTGGAGAGGGTGCTGTTCCTTCCCTCCAGACCACCCTACCTGGGTACTGCTAGCAGGTGACCGTTCTGAGCCGCTCCACAGGCCCTTGGTCTCATCTGCTTTAAGGGAAGATGCTGTACCGAGATGGATGCCTAATATTTATTCAGGTCATAGTGGCATCTTTTTGCAGGGGGCTGGAAGGGTTATTTTATTCCTTTTTCAACTGCAAAAGCAGTTGTGCTTGCTTTAAATTATTCAGTCACTGCAGAAAGAATTAATTAAAAATGAAAACTTAGCCGGGCGTGGTGGCGCATGCCTGTAATCCCAGCACTCGGGAGGCTGAGGCAGGAGGATCGTTGTGAGTTCAAGGCCAGCCTGGGCTACAAAGTGAGCTCAAGGCCAGCCTGAACTGCATAGCGAAACCCTGTTTCAAAAAGATAGATAGATAGATAGATAGATAGATAGATAGATAGATAGATAGATAGATAGATAATAAAATAAAATAAAATAAAATAAAATAAAATAAAAAGTTCCCGTCATGCTACTCCCAGAGATGACACCCACCAAAATGGTTGCTGTGGGTACTTGTAGAGTTTTCTTTTTGCACACAGTACATAATTTGGGGGGCAGGAAAGGGTTCCTTGGGTCTGAGTTATTTTGTAGCTAGCCTTTGTTTATAAGTCATGTTTGTGACATGCTTCTCTGTGGGTGACATAGAGGCCTGCCTACCTTTTCAGAGGCTGGCTAGTGTCCCACCGCACGGATTTAAGAAAGCGTGTCTCACCCCTCCTCCAGTGATACGGCAGTTGGGTTATGTTTTGTGTTTTGGTATAGTGTACAGCTTTGCTTGTGGTTCTTGTGACCTTCTGGAAGCTAGAGAGAGAGTAAGTGGAGGTATGGGCTTTAACCTCTGCCCAGCTGCTGGCTAACTGCCCTTTAAATGTTTGGTAATCTTTAGTTGTAGGTGGTGAGAATACCTGTTTTCTGTAATGTGCTTTTTTCCTGATTACTTCTGATATCATATGTCTTTTATGAATTGTTTGTCATATTCATTTGTTTGTTTTTTACTTTTTTGAGAAAGAATCTCACTGTGTAGTCCAGGCTGGCCTTGAATTCACTCTGTAGTCCAGGCTGGCCTGGTATTCATGGTAGTCCTCCTGCTTCAGCCTCCCAAGTGCTGGGATTACAGATGTGCACCAGGCCCAGCTATTTGGCATATTCTTTATTTAATATGTAGTGGTTTCTATTTCTGGATCTCCCATTATATGCACATTTAAAGTTTTCATATACTAAAGTGAAATGGGTAGTGTCTTATTTTTTCTCAAACTGTAATGCAGTTCGGTAGTATAGAAATGCTACTTTCCTTGGTGGTTTGGTGGAAATGACTCCAAGGCCACTGGGGCTCTTTTAGGCCATCTTGGCCTTTGCTGATGTCACAGTGATGCACAGCTAGAGCGCAGGTGCCTGGCCGTTGCACCTCGTCAGTGCCAGGTAGTCCTCCGCAGCCTGCTGGTCCTGGGGCCCTGGGCAATGCCGATAAGAGAGTAGAGCCTCATGTTCCCGGGCTAAATGAAGGCCTAGGATAAAGATCAAGTTTTGGCTTCTTCCTGATGGCGCTGACGTCAGGCTAGTTTGCCTGTGGTAAAGTGCAGATGATTGCTTGGAGGGTGTAGGACCTTTTCCTGCAGGCAAGGTGGTAACGCAGTTAAGGCTTCCAGTAGTCTCTGCAGTGTTCAGACTGCACACAGTGATACTGAGGACAGGCACTGAGGGGTGGGGCAGGCCATCCTTTTCCAGCTAGCTGTATGGTCTTGGGCAAATTGCCTCACCTCTCTGCACTTCGGTTTTCTAATCCAGTTCAGTGACTCTTGCAGGATTAGTAGGACCTCAGTGTCTCAGGCTTTGGAAACACAAATATTTGAAGATTGAAAAACCACCCATTTTTGGCATGTATGAGACAGTTGGAAATCTGAACTCTCACTTGATATTAAGGAATTGTTATTCTTTTTATGTGTGATAATGATACTGCATTTAAGTTTTAATCTTTTGTTATTTTGGGGTTACCTACTATAATATTTCTCCATGAAATGAACTTAAAAAGGATTGTAAGCTAGGTATAGTGGCATATGCCTGCATTCCCAGCTACTTAAGAGGCTGAGGCAGGAGGATCACAAATTGGAGGCTAGCATGGGCAACTTCGTGAAACCTGTCTCAAAATAAAAAGTAAAAGGGGTGAGGATGTAGCTTAGTGTCAGTGGTAGAGTGCCCGTGGGTTTGATCCCCCGGGGTACCAGAGAGAAAAGGAAGATGGTAAACATCAGCTAGACTTCTCTAAGGTCTATGAAAACTGGTTTCTGGCACTGATTAGTATTTATTCTGCATTTCCATAATGGGAATGGACCGTTGTGTGTGCTCACAGCTCGCAGGCTGCAGAGGGAAGAGGAGGAGTGCTGTGCTGGCATCAGTCCCGAGATGAATGAGTCCTTGCTCACTCACAGTCACAGTCACAGGCGCTCCTCTCTGACCTCCTGGCCATCCCTGACCTTGGCGAGCTGGGAGGCAGCCCCTCATGTTGTGGCCCGGGACAGTGGGCTCATGCAAGCTCGGACACACTTAACCAGCTGCTGGCTGCAGGTTCCTGGAGCTTTTGAGTGTCTGCCCTCTCCTTCCCATCTTTCCATCCTCCTTCCCTCTACTGCATCCTCTGAATTCCCAAGTGTGAAGTCCAGAAAAGTGGTAGAAGACTTGGTGAGAGCAGGTGCCCCGTCTACTTTACTTCCTTCTTTCTAAACCAGAGAGCTTCAGAGCTCTACACGATTTTTGGTTATTAGTTTTTGCAGTGCTGTGGATTGAATACAGGGCCTTGTGCATATTGAGCAAGGGCTGTATCCCTAAGTTGCACTCCTGGTCCCAAGGCTATTTTATGCCATTTTATGCTATTCTCCGCACACCTGCAGAGTGACTTAAGATTTTTTTTTTTTTTTTTTTTTGGCACTGGGAATCAGACTCTTCACCTTGCATTTGCCAGGCAGATGCTTGTGCTGCTGAGCTATATCCCTGTCCCAGAGTGACCTAAGAAACGATGTCACGACAGTTGGCAGAAATCTTTCCTTCAATCTGTCACTTTTTGTGACTCCTGGGTCTCCTTTCCTCTCTCATTTGTGAGAGCTGACTTTTGTGGCTGAGCACATAGTGTATCCTAGGTGCTTTCTGTGGGCTGATTCACTTATTCCTCACAACCATCTTGGGAAGTAGGTGCCTGTGTCCCGTTGGTGAGGAAAAGGAAGCTCACAGGGTCCGGGAGCTGCGTGTCCTTACAGTCACATGGCTGCCAAGCACGGATCCTTGTGCGTCTGGCTGCTCCGGTCGAGTCTGTCCTTTGGAATGCGGCCTCAGGATGGGGTGATGGGGTCAGAGGGTCGGGATGCGGAAGCCTGCAAAGCTCTGACCCTCGCTCATTGCCTCTCGCACCACAGCGTCTGCCTCCTGCACCCTGAAGATGCCGCTCGTGTGTCTCCTTACCAGGTTGGTGATGGTTGCCTCACAGTGGCTGTGGGCACTCGTGCATCCGCTGAGCTGTCCGAGCGTCGGGAGACCTCGTTATGGTAGTCGCTTTGCCTCTCTGCCAGCTGTGTTCAGGGTCAGGCCCCTGGGTCTCCAGCAACCATGTGGCCAAGTGACATGGCCCCTGCAAGGGAAGCAGCACCCTCCACATTGCACTGTGGTTCCCAGCACTCGTGGCCTCAGCGCAGATCTGGGACTCTTGGACCCGAGGCACTTCCTCCTCATGCTGGTGTACTTGACCTGCTCAGTGCATCTAACAGAGGAGCCTGCTTTCTGCAGTCCATCCTCGTGCCCGCCTGGAGGAGAGGGCCATGTCGTCCGGGGCTGCAGAGGATTGCAATCAGCCTGGCCTATTGGCAAGGTCAGATGGCTGTTGTGAACATCTCTCTTGCTTCATCAAGCGGCCAAGGAAACATCTTTAGAAACCGCACTGTGTACAGAGTAGCCTGCTAGGAATCCCAGAGGGAGGCCATGAAAACTGGCTGTGTCATCTTTCCGCCCCTTGTCCGTGCGAGGATGGGGGGAACAGCAGTCCCTGCAAGACGAGTGCAGGCCCCTCCCTCTTTTCATCCTGCTGTGGGCAGTTCCCGCACCCAGAGAGCCTGCGGTCCCAGAGGGGCTGAAGAGGAGGAACGAAGTGGCCCTGTGGCATGGACAGTTTGACCTTGGGGCTGTGTGACTGGCTCCCGAGGACGTGGTGTTGAGCTGGAAGTGAGAAGCAGAGCTTGCCAAGTGAGGGAAGCCCAGCCCCTGTCTCCGGTGCG